GACAAAGGGCGTGCTAGTAGCCTACATAAGAACGATCAAGGACATGTATGATGGAGCTAAGACTAAGGTTAGAATTGTAGGAGGAGACTTGGAGCATTTCCCGGTTGTTATGGGATTACACCAAGGCTCTGCGCTTAGCCCGTTCTTATTTGCCTTGGTGATGGATGCACTGACATACCATATTCAAGGGGATGTGCCATGGTGTATGTTATTTGCGAGAAAAAGTTCAAAATCATACATTATCTTTGGCTTTAGGCCCAAAATCATACATATTCTTTCACGTAGAGCACTTATAGTCCATTTACTTTTACAAAATGTGAATTTTTAATCATAACCCTAAACACCGTTAATTTTTTAACAGAGGCCTCCTCACGTTCCTGTCACATAATTTTTGTTCCCTCCATATGAATCACTACTATATCTCTCTGTCTTTAATTATTTTTGCAAAGAGAGTACACATCTGTAAAGAAACAATCAGAACAATTTTGAAATTAAATGAACTGTAAAAGAACAATTCTGAAAATAAAGAAAGAAAGATAACAGGTGCAATGCTCAATCTTTTACTGCAGAAACTATTGCAAACGATAAATTAATATGTGAAGCTAAATGCTGGTGCAAAGGGGAGAGCTTGAACATCTTGTGAAAAAAGTGAAACAAACCTCAATCCTTTCCTAACTAAGAGGATGCTGGGAAAACTCCAAGCAATATCAAGCACTAAAAAAAGCTTGTAAAAAAAAATCTATATTAATATATTATACAAAGTTGAGGATATCTATCAATCTTGATAAGCTCTTGGATCAAGCCAAGCTGCACGTAGAGAAAAATATAATTAAAAGAAGGTTGATTGTTGCCAATAGAGTCAAAGAGCTCGAAAATCAGGTGAGAACTGCCACTGAAAGGTGAAGAAAATTTAGTGAAGAAAACCTTGGCGATATCTCGGATTTTCCAAAAGCCATTTTGGTTTTCAAAAATTTATGTTCCTCTTGGTATTACTCCCTTTGCAAAAAAAACGATGGAAGATATACTGATAGCTAACCGTTTGTAGGGAATAAAAGGGCACGTGAGGAGGTTACTGTTAAAAAACTAACGGTGTTTAGGTTATGACTAAAAGTGCACCATTTTTTTTAAAAGTAAATGGATTATTAATGCTCCATGTGAAAGAATATGCATGATTTTGAAACTAAAGCCAAAGATAATGTATGATTTTGGGCTTTATCTCTGTTATTTACTGATGATATAGTTATAATTGATGAGACGAGGGCTGATGTTAACGAGAGGTTGGAGGTTTGGAGAAGACCCTCGAGTCTAAGGGTTTCAAATTGAGTAGGTCTAAGATAGAGTTCCTGGAGTGCAAGTTTAGCGCTGAGTCGAGGGAGGTAGGCAGGGACGTGAGGCTTGGATCACATGTCATCCCCAAGAGAGATAGCTTCAAGTACCTTAGGTCGATGATTCAGGGGACGAAGAGATCAACGAGGACGTCACTCACCGTATAGGGGCAGGCTGGATGAAATGGAGGCTTGCATATGGAGTTTTGTATGATAAGAAAGTGTCACCGATACTCAAAGGTAAGTTTTATAGAGCTGTGGTTAGACCGGCCATGTTGTATGGGGGAAGTGTCGACCGGTTAAGAACTCCCATATCCAGAGAATGAAGGTAGCAGAGATGAGGATGCTGAGGTGAATGTTCGGGCACACTAGGATAGACAAGATTAGGAATGAAGATATTCGGAAGAAGGTGGATGTGGCCCCTGTGGATGACAAGATGCGGGAAGCGAGGCTCAGATGGTTCAGGCACGTGCGCAAGAGAAGCCTTGATGCTCCGGTGAGGAGGTGTGAGCGGTTGGTCGTGGTGGGTACGAGAAGAGGTAAAGGGAGGCCTAAGAAGTATTGGGGAGAGGTGATCAGGCAGGACATGGTACGACAGCACATTTCCGAGGACATGGCCCTTGATAGAAAGGTCTGGAGGTCAAGTATTAGGGTTGTAGGTTAAGGGGTAGTAAAGCTTTCGTTACTTCATACCCGGGGTGAGGCAGGGTTGGATTAGGGTTGATCTAAGATGGCTTGCAGTTTATGTCGAGTCCACACTATCTTTGCTGTTTATCTTAGCCCCGGGCCTTAGATACTGGTTACTGTTATTGCATGTCATTTATCTTTTGGTTGTTATGCTTCTGTTACTATTACGGTTTCTACTGGAGTTACTAATGAATTGTCTTTTCTTATTTTTTTATTTCCGTCTTTCTGAGCCGATGGTCTATTAGAAACAGTCTCTCTGCCCTATCAAGGTAGGGGTAAGGTCTGCGTACACATTACCCTCCCCAGACCCCACTTTGTGGGATTTTACTGGGTAGTTGTTGTTGTAGTTGTTGTTTTTAGATTGTTAGAAACATCAAAGTCCTACATGAAACCAAAATTAAATACATCAAAAATTAACAGATTCTCTTTTGCCTGGAAGAAAGATCATTTGTAAATGCACACTACACCAAAATGATGGATGCAGGCTCAGCTTATATTCTAAAAAACTTGATTAGGATTATTTTAAATTTTAACATTTTTAAGACATCTCTCCATACCTAGCACAATCAGTATAGAAGAATGGCCTTGCTGATAGAAAACTGAACATGAGATTCATGCCTAGTCAACCTTGAGCTAATGAGAGAGAGTTTCACTTACATAGAATATTTAATTAAGCAGTCTGCAAAAATGCCAAGAAAGATAATGCTTGGCTTCCGGCTGAAACATAATCTATAAGTGTATAGATGCTTACAAAATCAGGTCTGAAAAAGAGATATTACTCACAAAAATACAAATAAAAACTAAATCTTATATGACAGTTGGAGAGGCATACAACAAATGCCTTGTAGAGGGAGAAATATTTTAATCGGCGTTTGCTTTGGTTAAATAGCAACAACAAGTACAAGGAATCCTTCAAACTTAAAGAAAGCATGAAGCCCTTCAAATTCTGCATCTATATTCTTGTCCTTCAAGCTCTCTTCACATTTCCCCTACAACCAACGCAGATCCAGCAGACTGCCCTGGGGTTTTCAGAGAATACATTGGAGCTGAGGGCAAGAATGGCACATTCTCTGATGTCCCAATTAATCCAAATATTGAGTTTCACTTCCTCCTCTCCTTTGCTATAGACTACACAAACACAACATCACCAGAACCCACTAATGGAGACTTCCTGGTCTATTGGGACACTGATAATCTATCCCCTTCTCAGGTTTCTTCCATCAAGGCCCAGTACAAAAATGTTAAGGTAGGATTGAGTCTCGGTGGTGATACAGTGAATGGTAAAAATGCAACCTTTGCTCCTACTTCAATTACTTCTTGGGTGAGAAATGCAATATATTCAATCACCAAGATAGTGAAACAATATAACCTGGACGCAATAGATATAGATTATGAACACTTCAATGCAGATCCAGATACATTCGCTGAGTGCATCGGGTGACTGTTGTACTATCTTAAACAAAACAATGTCGTCTCTTACACATCAATAGCACCATATGCAGATGATTCAGTGTAGGTGCACTATTTAGCTCTTTGGAGAAAGTATGGTCATCAAATAGACTATGTCAACTTCCAATTTTATGCCTATAAAAAGGGCACAACCATTGCTCAATTCCTGCAGTACTTTGAAACCCAGAGGTATAACTATAAAGGAGGCAAGATTCTAGTGAGCTTTGAAACTGATAACAGTGGTGGCTTGTCTCCTAAACATGGATTCTATGATGCATGTAGCATACTGAGGAGTCAGGGAAAACTTCATGGTATCTTTATTTGGTCGGCAGATGACTCTATGAAGGATTGTTTCCTATATGAAAAGTTGTCACAGGACCTCTTAGCAAGTGCAATTTGAATATCTTGCAATTATTACATATAATCTTTTTTAAGCCATGACAAAAATAGAAAAATTGTAACGCAAAGAAAGTTATTGTTTATTTTGAAGGCTTCTCTAGAAAATAAAACGTGTTTGAGGTAGTTCTTTTATTGTGGTCTTAACATCACAATCCTGAAGCAAACTATTTCAGATTTACAATTTCCAAATGTGCTTTACTCTTCACATAAAAGTATTGAATATAGTTGGTTTAGTGCATTCCATGAAAGAGCAGTTATAGGATAAGTACATAGAAATATGAGAATCAAAATGGGATGTAAAATGTAAGGAAATAACAGCCCACTTCCCTTTTAGCAAAGTAAATGAAAACCATAATTAGGTCAAATTTCAAAGGTGAAAGAAGAATGGAAGGATGCAGGTGTCCTTACACTCGCACTATTAGCTTCCAGAGAGTAGTAGAGGAGGACAGGAGAAACGAAAGGAGATTTTTTCTTTATTACTCTTTTGGTGCAAAAAGTAATAGCAGATCAGCATTCATAGTTATCATGCTTCTCACTTTCAAATGTTATGACTGTGCTGTCTAAATTTTTCGATAAGTGCTTGTGGTGTTTTTTATCAAGTAACACAAACACAGTTGTTTCGTACAAACACACTCTCACTATCCAAAAAAATCAGAAAGCTAACCAGTCAATCAAAGATTGTTAGATACATATATTTCAAATTGAATCATAACTCATAAAGAATTACTCAAACAGTAATATCAATACAGCTTTAGCAATAATATCCACAAGGGATAATTTTCTGAAGGTATTACATATATAAAAAAAATTAGTCTGATCCTCACAATTAGTAGCAACACAAGAAATAATCTTCATACAGTTAAACTAATTCAATTACTTTTCACCTTTAATTCTCCTCTTTTTACTCTTGTTCTTATTACTCTGCTCTTCTGAACTAGCACTGTCTTTTTTTTTCAAAATGACTTTGCTTATGTACAACTATAAAGTACCAAGTGAATAATTTTTTTAAGGATATGAAAATTAGCACATAAATTCTGATATGTCAAATAAACTTTGTTAGATCCATAATCATTTGAAATTGAATCATATCTCATTAAATATAACTCAAAATGTCATTTGAAATTTTATATCAATACAGCTTTAGCAATGATATCCACAAGGGACATTTTTCCTACATAAAAAAGCATTACTCTGATCCTCACCAATACTAGCAACAACAGCTGCAACAAAAATCTCATACAATTCAGCTAACTCATTCACTTTTCACATTCAATTCTCCTCTTTTACTCTTTTTCTTATTACTCTGCTCTGCTGAGCCAGTATCTTCACCCTCACCGCGATCCACTATCTTCCTCTTCTTCCTTTCCTCCTCCTCCTTAACCCTCAAATCTTCTTCCACTTTCCCCACCACCTCACCCTCATTGTCATCAACACCCTTATTTTTCTTTTTCTTCTTTTGTGTCCCTACTTATCATACCATCTTCCTTAACTTCCTCGAACTCCGATTCCCTCTTCACATAGCTATCCATTTTAATAAACTCCAGCTCATTTTTCTTGGATTTTGCTGTCTCTCCTTCACTTATATCGAGCCGGTGCTCGGTCTTGATCAATTTCTGATCCTTGTCAAGCTTCTTGCTTTTCTTATCAAAACTATTGCTTTTTCTGCTTTTTTGTGACTCATTTGGGAAATCATCATTCTTAACTACATCTTCAGCCTTTAAACCAACTTCCCTAATTTTCTTCCTTCTTTCGGAAGTTTCCTCAACTTTGATAGAAAGCTCATTTTTTGCACTATTTGGTCTGAGTTTCTCATGAAGCTGAACAAGTTGATTGAATGAATCAGCGGCACGTTGGATATATATGGAGACAGAATGTGAAGCTCCGTTTTCTGATGCAGCAAATTTGGAGAGCGATTTCGCTGCTTGAGAAAGAGAGATTGGGGTTGTGGATGTTAATTTCCCTGATATTGTCTTCATTGGCTTTGAGATTTTGGTTCGATTTTGGTTGCTAGANATTTTGGTTGCTACAGTAGCGATGTCTGCTGGGGTTGAGGGTTACGGAGAGCTAGGGCTTTTGTTAGGGTTTTATGATTTTGACATTTGAGTTTCAGATTTTACCCGACCCAATACCTTTTTCTTTGTAGGTAAAAATTACCAATTCTTATGTGGCCGAGAAAAATTATTTTATTTTTCCCATGTAGAGCTATCAAAATGGGCCAGCCCAGCCCAAGCCTCGTGAACTTTTAAATTTGGCGGGTTAGGATGGGCCGGCCCACCATATGAATGAGCCTTAAAATAACCAGCCCAACCCAGCCCTAAGAGGGCCACGGGCTAGGACGGGCCGACCTTTCAATTTGTTTTAAAAAAAACTCTTTAAATCTTTAATTATTTTTTGTGACATAGTCGATTAATCATGTAAGCAACTTCTACTTGCGTAGAGCATACAAAAATGTTGATATTTGACGAGGAATCTCGTAATTGAAATGCAAATTCTCTATATCTCTTGCTCTTCTTTTTTAAAGTTACATGGATATTTTCTTAATACCTTTCTTTCATTTTTCTCAGATTCAGGGATTATTTTAATAAGTTTATATGCTGAGGTTTTTTAAAGTAGGATTAACATCATTTGTTGATTTCATCATCATAGCCCATAAAATTTTTAAAATTCTTGAAATTTGCTAGTGGTCAAATTTTCTTGTGTGTATTTAAAACTGATCTTTATTCATACTGAAGAGTAGTTTAAATATTAATAATATATTAAAGTAACCCAAACTGATCATTGGCCATTTAAAGTAATATTTTCTTTTGAGAAAAGATTTTATTGGCTACCTAAGACTTTTAGAGTTCGTTATTAATTAAACAAAAGAAAAACTAATTTTGTCATAGTACATGCATGTCAAAAATTTAAATTCTAGTTGATATAGAAAGGTAAATGAGCAATTTCGGATTGGGGAATGAGGATTATAGTTAATAGTTTTTTTACTTTTTACTTTTTTTTAAATATTAAATATTAATAGTAATTAATTTAAATTTAATTAATTTTTGGCCTAAGGGCCGGCCCAGGCCCGGATTTGGTCAAGCCTCAAGGTTCAGCGAGCTGACTTGGGCCGGGCTTATAAGCCTCACTTTTAAATGGGATCAAAAAATCCTAACACAACCCTATTCAAATAGTGGGCTGGATTGGGCTGGCCTCACGGGCCAAGCCCCATTTTGACGGCTCTATTCCCACGCCAAAGTCTGACTTGTCTCCTTAAAGTTTTGAATAAGAGCTTTAATTAGCAAGCAAATACGTAGCGAAAATTCTTGTTACAAGATTAGTTAGTGATTTGTATGTAACGACTATGTGATATTTTCAGCTAATAGAATTGAATTCTTGTCGACCAAAGGTAATTAACATCTAGTTTTTTATAATGTATACTTTAGTCTCTTTTATATGAAAATGATGATATATTCAAACTATTTTTCAATATATAATACAATATTTTTCAAGGTACCAACAGAGAATCCAACTTGTTGTACTATCTCATGCTGCACATGGTTAGGCACTCCTCTAAAGTATATACTACTTTTGTTTATGTTAGCTATTAGTCCTGATGCCTTGGAAAATATTGAAATTGATCAAATAATAGCTTGGCTAATACCACATCACCCCTGCATAACATGAGGAGGTCATAAGCAAAACCTAGTTGTATTATGCCTAGCTTTTCACATCTAGGATGATGATTGAAGTTTGGATTCCTCTTTAGTGTTCTAAGCAATCTAGTAAGATATTCCATGGCAAGTACAAATAAGTATGGGAATAATGGATCACCCCGCCTGAGCCCCTTTTTGCCTCAAATGATTGTGTTGGATTTCCATTTATAACATTTGAATAGGAAATTTTTCTGATGCAGCTGCTAACCCATGTGATGAACCTTTCTGGAAAATTCATACTTGACAAGATCTGCTCCAGAAAAACCCATTCCAACGAGTCATAAGATTTTTGCATATTCACTTTGATCACAATCCTTTGTGACACTCCTTTTCTCTTGTATCCTTTAATGATTTCATGGCTTAGAACCACATTATCATGTATCACCCTTCCAGGAACAAAAGCATTTTGGGTGCAATCCACTAGGGAATCCATGAGCTGTTGTAGTTTGTTGGTAATCATTTTGGAGATGATCTTGTACAATGTTGTGCAGCAAGAGATTGGTCAACATTCTCTGATATTGACAAGGTTCTTTACCTTAGGTATCATTGTTACTGAAGCGCATCTTATAGGTCTATACATATCAGATGTTTCAAAGAATCTAAGTACTTCAATTGTTACCTCTTCTCCCAGTATGTGCCATGTTTTCTTAAAGAATGTTGAGTTAAAACCATCACATTCTGGGGCTTTCAATGTGTTTATTCCTTCCGATGCTTGATATACTTCTTCATTTGTGAATGGACTTATTAATTGAAGTTGTTGAGCTCTGTTCAGTTTTGGCCCTTCCTTCGTGATGTTTGGGTTGATGCCAGGTAAGCAATTCTAGCTTGAGCCCAGTAGGCCTTTGTATAAGCCAATTATCTCTTATTTGATCTCCTCTGGCTTTTGCAATAACCTTCATACTGTGGATTTAAGCTGCTTCATATAATTTTGTGCTCTTCAACCCTTCGTGTTAGCATAGAAATATGCTGTATTGGAATCACCCAGCTTGAGCCATTGGACCGTTGACTTTTGCCTATAAATGCTTTCTTCTATTATACTGCACTTTTCAAGTTGCTTCTTTAGTTCCTTCTCCCCCTCATACTTTCCCGTAGAGTGGATAATATCCCTCATTTGTTCTTGCAATTTGTTCAGCTTGTTCCTAATATTCTGAATTTTGTTCCACACTCCTATAAACTCCTCACTGTTTAATCTATTCAAGGCTCATTTAACAATCTTCAGCTTTAACCATATGCCCATTATGCCTTGTGTAAACCTTTGACTTGACCAGCTGTTTTTAACTATGTCCGCAAACTTAGGATGGTTTGCTAGACAATTCAGAAATCTAAAACAGAGGAGGCATGGATCCTTGATATGGACTTGCAGAGGAGGCATGGTATTCATCCACTGTGCATTTACTAATGCTTTGTCTATCTTACTATAAACATGGGTATTAGTCCATGTAAATGTTCTTCGAGTAGTTTGAAGTTCTGCAACCCCACACTCTTCTGTGAACCTTCTAAAATCCCTGGTTTCATATATTGTACCTCATTTCCTTGTGATCTGTCCTTCACATATATAACTGAATTAAAGCCCCCCATTATCAACCAAGGGTGGATCATTAGCTCCTCTATTTCCTTTAGTTTCCTCCATAGTTCCCTCATAGCCGGAACATTATACAACCCATACACTGCTAAAAAGTGAATGATTATATTAGTATGTCTAGGCTGTATTATCCCATGAATGAGCTGATCATGGATCTCCACGACTGTAAATTTGACTTCAGTAGCGTCCCATATTATCCATATACAATCTCTAGTTGTACTAGATCTGTTGGTACACCATTCCCAGCCAAGCTATTTTATTTACTATCTTGGCAACCTTATTGCTATTAACTCTATGCTCTGAGATAGCTATTAAGTTTACTTTATTCTCCTTTAAAAACTCCTTCAACTCCTTTTGCTTGTATATTTTATTTATTCCCCTAACATTCTATGTGACGATCTTCATGTGGAATGTTGAGATGATTGAGGTCTTCATTCATTACCTACCACAACTACATTGCCCTTTAGTACCTATTTCCCTTTGTGTGCTTGTGCATTGATTTCTGATGGTGGACCAAAATCATTGTTAGTAGGTGTTGAAGTTTGGCAAAATGCCAAAGTCCCACATTGGTTGGGAGTTAAGTTTGGAGGGGAT